GTTCTGGTCCAACTTTCTCCACAAAGCCTTTTTGGACTTCTCAGACAAGACTATGTGGGTGGGTTGGGGGCCCTATGTGGAATGACGATCATCAGGTTAAGGGATTGGGACCTTATCCTATGGACAATAGTGAGCCACTGAAGACTTTAGAATGAGGGAGCATGTGTGTGAAAAGAGTGCTTTAGGAAGTTTGCATGGTAGTAAGTGCTGGATTTGGAGTTAGAAAACCTCGGCCCCAGGCCCAACTCCAACACTTCCTAACTATTTAACTTTGGCAATCATTTGTTTAGAAGTTGGAGGAACTAGATTCCTTGGTCTGTTAATTCTTACTTATGTGACCTTGAGCAATTAATGCAATTTCTCTGGCTTTGATTTCTTAGAGGGGGTTGGCCCAGATTATTTTTAAGGTCTTTTTCAATTGTAAATCCTATGACCCTCTCTGATCCATAGTTTCCCTTCATGAAAAATGCTGATAATGATACCTGTACTACCTACCTTACAGGGATAGTGTAAGAAAAACTTATTGAATTGAATTGAAATGAAAGTAAAACCCAATAATGCTATTTCAGTGTGAACCATTAGTATCAATTTACAGAATGGAGGGACTAGAAGGAAGACTGAGAAATGTCACAAACAGACTCTTGAGGGTCTGAACCCTCTCTCTGGTTCTATTCCAAACATGCTTAAGTCTGCAGAGGGAAGGTGATGGAATGGGAAGAGTCTTGGCTTTGGATTCTTAACTCCCGAGTCTGAATCAGCAGGCTTACCATGGAAGCAGCATTGGAGTCACCAGGCCTGGTTCAAAACCCACTCGTGACATTTACTACCTATGTGACCATGAGCAATTCACAACCTCTCTGGGCTTCATCTATAAAATGGGAGGGTTGGACTACATGGTCTTTATGGCCCTTCCTACCTCTAAATCTAGATAGTACAATGGTTAGAGCACTGGCCCTGAAAAGACCTGAGTTCAAGTCATGGCTACTTACTAGGCGTGTGACCCTGGGACAGTCACTTAAGCTTTGTTTGCCTCAGTTTCCTCAATTGTAAAGTAAGGATAATAAAAGTACCTATCTGTAAGGATCAAAGGAAATGATATTTAATGAAGCACTTAGCACAGTGCCTAGCACATAGTAGGTACTTAATAAATGCATGCTTCCTTCCTAAATCTCTTATTAGGACCTGACTTCACAGGCAGAAGAAAGAAAAGACATCTCAAAGGTGAAAATGTCCCTTCTTCTGTGCATCCAAAAGCTAGAATTAATAGTTGGGATTAGCAATTATTGAGCTATTACAGGATAGTATCTATATACTTTGCTCTCCAGGAAACTTTAACCTGATTTGATCTCGGGTCTTCCTTAAAATTTACTGAGAAGTCTACTCTGAAATTTCTCAGGCCTAGAGTTCAACAGAGTCCCTTGGAACCAACTCAACCACACTGCTTCAACCTTTCCTCCACCAAATGGGGAAGTCATATATACAGTGCAGGGCAGAGGTGGGGGGCAGGGAGCCTTCTCCATTCTGGCTCCATGTGAGCTGAGTAAAGGTTAAGTAGCCCTAATGATGTTGGCACTGGCCCTGCCTGTTCTAAAAGAGGCACAAATGACTGATTAATGGGAACGGGTACACACAGAAATGGGAGCCCTGCATTCAATTAAGAACAGCTCTTTGAGAGTTATATGAAACCTTAATCTCCTTGTGTGCTAGTTCAAATATTAGCAAGGTTCAGGCCACAAATCAATAGGTCTTTCAGCCTATGGGTAGATAGAGCTATCTTGAACTTGACTGCTTCATCAGCTCTGTAAATAGCCTGAGTAATAACATCAGTGATTCAGCAACAGAAAGCCTAGCCCAATCTTTACTAATGGGTGGGGAGGGGTGGGCAGGAAGAGAGAATGCTTGGTGTGGTTAATGGAAAAACTATGAACAGTGGTTTTCAAACTTTTTGGTCTCAAGACTCATTTATAGTCTTAATAATTAGTGAGGACTCCCCCCCAAAACTTTCATTTATGTGGGTTATATCTATTAATATTTATCATATTAGAAACTAAAACATTCTAATATTTTTATGAAAATAGTTTTGGCTTCATGGACCCCCTGAAAAGGTCCCAGGCTCCCCAGGGGTCCCTGGATCACATTTTGACAATCATTGGACTACAGTATTTGGAGCCGAGACCCACAGTTTTAATCTCAGCCCTGTTACTAATTCACTAGATGACCTTAGCCAAATCATTTCCCTCCTCTCAGTCTTATATGAATTAGATAATCTCCAAGGGCCTTTTCATTTCAAATATCTTAGTATTTTATTTACTGGACCAATGGAAGGACCAAATTTCTGAGCTCCCCTTTCTGATCCAAACTAGAATACTAACCATTCCTAGAACTCAGCATTTGTCTCCCACTTCTTTTCCCATGCCTGGAATACAGCCACTACTCTTCACTAGCTTTTGCAATCCTTATCTTCCTTCGGCTCCCTAGCCTCCCTTCCCCCGAGATTTCCTAGACTCTTCCAAATGTTAATGTTAACTCCCTCTTCAAATTGCTTGTATTTATATATATCTGCTGTATTCAGTCAGTAGAATGGAAGCTCTTTGGGGGCCAGGAATATTTCCTTTTTTGGCCTTTGTATTCAACTAGCACAGCTTTTAACACTCAATAAATGATTAATAAATATTTGTCAAATTGAATTTATCAACACCACCTCTCCTCCAACATTCTGGTCACTTGATTTCATTCCTCTTCCGTAAAAATATGGGAGTCTGACCATTTGACTTCTGAGACAGAACCATCTAACTCAACCCTATGATCTTTTGACTTTAAATTACTTAGTGTCCCTGAGTGTTCTTGAAACACCTTCAGGGAAAGATACCAGTCCCTAGCCTATACTTGGCCTATGACTCCAGCCATACTCTCCATACCTCTTAGTAATGCCTCTACCAGTAACTCCCCAGCCTTACTTCAAGGACTGGAGGACAACAGCAAACAGAAATGGGGTGGGGGGGTGTTCTTTGGGAGGAGGGGGGAGCAGAGAGGGGTTGCAGAGCTCTTCTGCTTGGGATGCTTCCAAACTGCTTTGCAGCTTTAGGGGATGATCCCAGCTGGTGTTCTACTGCATTGATGAAAAGCCTTCCAATCTCTCACACAACCCTTCCCTGTACCAGCCCTGTTACATATTCAGATAGAAAGCAGTTACAGTCGGAATCCAAGAATCTACTCTCTCATTCCCCTGGGGCCTGGGAAGTCAGACACCCGGATGAAACCTGCTGGCTCCTGCTTGGAGCCCCAAAAGGAAGGTGGAGGGGAGAAGTCAGGGAAAGCATCCAAAAGCCCAACCCACATGCCATAGAGGGATATCTGGCAATCAGATCAGCTCTGTTCTGTTACTGTGGTTACACGTACAATCCCACTGTTCACAGGCAAGTGGAGCCAGTCAGCCCAGGGATGGTCCTTAACTATCTATCTTCTTACAAATCTCACCTCTGGGGTCGAGAACTGCAGGTTCTTACCTTCAGCCAGGCAGAACTGAGCTGAACCAGAAAGGTGGGATGGGGAAAGAAGGAGAAATGACCATTTTGTGAAGTTTGAGGGTTATTGTAGCAGAGAGATGTCCACCAGTGATTCTCCGCATGCAACACATAGGGAAACAGCTCCCAATAAGAAATGGACAGATAGAATGTCTCTGAGGAATAACTCAGGAGTGAGTCTAGCGGCCCCTCCTCTTTCCCAGGTGCCAGGGTACATTTCTTATCAAAACAAATTATACTAAATTAGCACTCATTTACCCAACGTCTACTGTGGAGAAGGGTCACTGCTTAGGCCTGAAGAAGAAATAGTATTAACTGCAGTCCAGAAGCTGGGGAACATGCTGGTAAAACCCCTAAAATTTTAATCACAATACAGGATTTAAAGGATCCTTCAAGACAATAACAGAAGACCCTTCACAAAAAGTACTGATTAATTACTAAAGTTCTTCAAGAATTGGGGGGAGGGGAGGTACGGAGGCTGGTGTAGTTATAATCATCAGAGAGGGTGGTCTAGGGATACTCTGTGTGGAGGGAATTTTTGAGTGTTTTTATTGATTTTGGCTTCCCGCACAAATCCAAGCTTAGAACAGGCATTTATTAAACACTGAATGAAGACTGAGTGAATCCCAAAGTTGTTAGCCTCTTAATTCCAGTCCCTACTCCACCTTCTCTCCTATTGTCCCGACTCCTCCTCCCGCTTTCCTGCCTGCCCACCTCCCCCAACTCGACCTCCCACATCACTCCCCTCTCCTCCAGCCCGACTCCCTTTCTCTTCTACTGAGCTTAAGGGAAGGAGGCGGACTCCTCCAACCAATCACTCAAACCCAATCAACCTATTCCTCACCTGGGCCCACCCTCCCCGTCTCCATGCCACCAATCCTCAGTAGCGCTTCTTCCCTCCCTCCCCTTCTGACCAGCCAATCCTGGGCTTATATTCGGGCCTCCTCCCCGCCCTCCCCTCCCTTCCCCACTTTCATTTTGCTACGCGGGCGGCCGCGGGGCCGGCATTCTAGAAGGGGAGCCGTCCACCTCTTCGTTACTCCCGCGGGTGCAGGCACTGCGTAGGGAGCGGAGAGGCTGTGAACAACGGGGCGCTGCTGCGTGGGGCGCTGCTGCGCGGCGCTCAGTGGCTGGGCTAGCGCCGAGAGTTGCTTTGGATCGAGCCCGCAGCTGGTTCTGACCAAGGCCACCGGGGCAGGAGAGGGTGGGCTGCTGGCTTGGGCCGTGGGGTGCGGTGAAGTCCCCTGGATCCTTGCGTTTTCCCATCTCGGCCGAGTTCAGAGTGGCCCGGGGTCTGGGAAGGGGACTGTGCTGAGGCTGGACCCAGCTGTGCGAGGAGGAGACGTAGCCTCCACCCCCCCCCCCCCCCCGGGGGGCGGGGGGCCCCGCGCCCCCCCCCCCCCCCCCCCCCGGGGGGCGCCCAGGGTTTCCCCCCCCCCACCATCCTGCCGTCGAGGCTCCTTTCCCGGGAGGTCTTAAATCCCAGGAGGAAGGGCGAGTGCAGTAGGTGCCGTAGCTGCGCGCGGCGGTGAGCCGGGCCTCTCTCCTTCCATCCCAACAGGTTTGGGGGCGGGGAGGAGGAGCTCCGAGCGGGCTGGACCCAAACTCTCCTGATTTCTCCCTCCCTGGGGCTGCAGAAACCCTCCCGGAGCCCCTTCCGACAGATGAACTGAGCTCGGGGGACGATCCTCAGTGGAGTTGGCAGGGCATGGACTTGCGGACACTTGGTTAGACTCGGTGCAGCGAAGCGCGCCCTTTGGGGGACCACCTCGAAGGCCCTGACCCGGGAAGCCTTTTGGAGTTTTGTTTCTTCTCCCCTTGGAGATGCACGAATTGTTCCCTCCCTGCTCCTCCTCCTCCTTCTGCGAAGCCTTTGGAGGCATTGAGCTCCCATCCAGGGCCAGTTCTACAAGAGTGAAGAGACCCAGGCGTTCGAACTTGAGACTTTGTGCTTATTCAAACTGAGACTTTCCTACCCCCACGCCACCAAGCACCCATTTCTCAGACAGTGTTTGCGTTTGACTGACGATTTTTGGATTTATTTGATCGCCTCTCCTTTTTTAGAAAAGGAGGTGGGGAAGGAGACTGTTAGGTAGCTGTTTTTTTGGTTTTGTTTTTTAAATCCACGGTACAGGGTATCAGTCTCAGGGAACTTGCCCATGGCTTTCTTGATGAAGAAGAAGAAATTTAAATTTCAAACTACTTTTACTCTGGAGGAGCTGACTGCGGTCCCGTTCGTGAATGGCGTGCTGTTCTGCAAAATCCGGCTTTTGGATGGCGGGGATTTCGCCAGCTTGTCGTCCAGGTAGGAATTGTATGCCTTTTCTTCTAACCGTGGCTCCAGATGTACTGGGCTACAGCGCCAACCTGGCGGTCTGCCCCATTCTCATGGAGGGAAGGGGTTACCTGTTTGGGGTCCCAGAGGTTCTGTCTTTTAGGGAACTGGAGAGGGTACATCTGGAAAGCCCCAACGCAGGGGTGTGTAGCTTCGAGTAAGTGGGTCAGGGACTTGAAAAATTATTTTGTATTACTCCCAAATGCAGCCAGAGGCGGATTTTTAAATGCCCTGCTGTGCTTAATGGGAAGCTTGGGAACATTTTGGGCCACATTTCCGTTGTGTTTTAAGAATCTTTGCTCACAACACTCTGACTGCAGGTCGTAGGTAGTTGCGAGTATTCTTATTCACTCTTACTGAGGAAACTTGAGGTTTCTCACTCCGTGGTAAATGTCAGAAACCGTTCTAGAACTCAAAGGCTCTTTCCACACCGCTCCTTGATGGTCTCTTGCTAATTTCGGGGCCTTATGAAGCAACTTCTAACAGGAGCAAAGTGTTTAGCATTCATCGATTGGCAATAGTGGTGCCAGTTATATGGGATGTGTGCAATATTTATTTCTACTTTTTTTCTTCCCTTGAGACTTTTAAAAGCACTTCTACAGTAGACATTGAATAAATATTGAGTAGATATAGAGGGATCAGCTGATTTGGTAGGGTATGAGAGGCTCCAGTTCCTCCATCTTGCCCTCATTCATCTCATCCTCCCCCTTCTGAATTTCCAGACTGGATGCCTGTTTTCAGAAACCTCTTCAGGTACAAGTTTCTTGAAGCTCAATTGAATTTAGAACATAGTAAGGGCTTAATAAATGCTACTTGACTGACTTGCTGACTTAAATAATTTTGCTCAGTGTTCCTCGGCCCCAGAGAGCCAAAGGTGCCCAGATTGCTTTTGTCCCCCTCCCCCTTGGCATTACTGTCCTCTTAGGGCTGCAAAGGAGTTGCTTTGCATTGCAAATAGCCTTGTAAAAAAGGACTGCTTGTTGCCAGGATTTTAGGAGTCACGGATTAGCTTGGTGAATTATGCTCACCACCTGTACTGATCAAGCTGACTAACCACCAGCTGGGAACAGTGTGTAAATGGTGGGGAGGCCTTTCAAAAATACATGGGCATTCTCAACACTACACCTTGCTGTACTCTGTTAACTGGTGCTGGGCCCCAGCCAGACTGCCCTGCCCCCCATGTGCTTCTGAGACCTTCTGCCTGTTCTGCATAACTGTTACTCTCCTGTGAGCAGAACCTGCCCCAGATAATCCCCTAAACTCCTGATCCATGGTTGCCTACTTAAAGCAGTGTGGGAAGAACAGGACAGGGTGGCCTTGGAACCTGTTGCTCAGTTTTCCCAGAGGATAATTTATCCCCCTTAGAGCCTGGGGGCCCCTCTGCTTTAAGGCAAATCACTGAGCAGTCCTTCACTGCTAGGGGAGAGTGGCCAGATTTACAAGGTGGAAGAGATTTGCACATCCAGAGAGGAATGTGTAAGTCTCTCCCTTTCTCTTTCTTTCTCTCCTCCTTTCTTCCCCCACACCCCCAACCTTTCTAGCAAAACTGTGGCTCAAATAGAAATCTGCTCTGGGAAGAGTCACATCATAACAACTTTTCCTTATAGTCTTCTTTCCTGGGGATTTGATTTCTTCAGAGTGGTAGAAGCTGCTTATCTGAGGAATTCTTGTTGCTTGCCTATGCTGCCAGGGGAGGAGGTGAGAGGTGGGGACATAGACGTTTAAGGTCTTAGAAGCCCTGTGAGGACCACCCAGGCCTGGTGGGCAAAGCTGTCTGCTAGAGCAGCATCTCTCCTCTCTCCAACCCCAGGCAGGTTGCAGAATGCAAGCAGGCAGACAGCAATCACTCGAGTTGCTTGCCAGCCCTGGGGTCTGGCTGGCCCAGCTTCAGGCAGTGGCTCAGCAGGCGATGGGCTGCTGATTGCAGCTGGGCCCTAGAAGAGGACTTGGCTGTAATTTAAACCAAGCCCACGGCAGTGGTTTTTCAACTGCCCAGGCTAGTCATAAAGCAGCCTCTGGAGCAGGGGGTAGCTGGCTGGCTGCTAAAGATTGCTCCACTACTCTTACCTGTCTGGCTTTTCTAGACAGCATGTAAACCTCCAATCTGCATCTGGAAAGTTACTGATCTTGGCTAGAGTTGCCTGGATTTCACCTTTTCCTAACCTTTCTTCTCCTGGCAAGGTTCTGTGCCTTCCCAGAAACTGGCTGAGTTTTAACAGCTCTGTATCAGAACCTTTTGTCTGATCTTTTTTTTTTCTTTTTTGTCACCTTGAGGGGAAAAGAAGGTTGAAGAAAGCCTGGGGAGTTGCTTCAGAGGTCCCTTCCTTGGCTGAAGCAGGCTTGCCCTGTCCCAGAGCAGGTTTAGGGCTGTAGCCAGCAGACAAGGGCCTTGCTAGTGACAATCAAAGTCCTGGGCCTTAGGGTTGTGGAGGCCCCTACCCTTGATTGTTCCATAGGGTGTGGGAGAATTTGGAAGGGCCTGCTCTTAGGATTAGTTGGGAGTAAGGGGCAGCAAGTGATAAGTGAGGTATTTAAAAAGGAAAATGATTATACTATCTTTCCTCCTGACAGTGCCCCTGAACATTTATTTTGTCATTTCAGTGTGATAGGCCTGGTGTTGCAACCAGGCCCATTTGTTCTTAGGAGGCAGATTCAGAGCCACACCTCTGCAGTGCCTGTCTTCTGAGCTCTCTTTAAGTCCGTTCAGCACCATAACAACTCCCTGGGTACACAGCTTTCTTGCCTGACCCAATTTGAACAGGTAGAACAGGTGGTAGTGTTCTCATAGGATGGAGGCTGACTTGTTTGTTGCAAGCCTGTTGGACTTGGGAGGAGCGGTAGAGATGACAGGTAGATACTGAAACAAGACCTGCCTTCATCCTCTACTCCCTAGGGGGCTTTTAGGTGAGCTGTAGTGTGCATGGAATCCCATATTTGGATGGATCAAGGACATGTGAGTAGGTCAAAACTGGTTCGGTTTAAACAACCAAGGGGTTAGGGAGTTTGGGTGGTTGTAGGTGACCTTCCCATAGAATGGGAGGCAGCTGTGGTACCAAGCAGAACACTATATTTGGAGTCAGATCTGAGTTTGAATCCTGGCTCTGCCACCTACGACCTATGTGACCTTGTCTCTCAGCCTCTCTGGGCCTCAGCTTCCTCCTCTGTGAAGTGAGGGAGGCAGACTAGACGGCCCCTTCCAGCTCTAAATCTCTGAACCTATGATTTCCCCCTCCCAAGGCTCTGGAGCCTTAAATTAAGTTAGGAAGATTACCCTCCGTCAGCAATCACAGAATTTAGCTAAGGCACTGTCAGGCAGCTGTGCTAAATTGTAGACATAGCGAGGCAAACAGAAAAGATTGTCCCTGCCCTCAAGGAGCTACTGAGCTTTGAGGGAATGATTGGATCCTGGCCACCTAACCATCAAGTTTCTAGGGCTTTGGAGCATTTTGAAAAGAGTGGGTCAGTCAGCAGCTTCCCCAGCTGACTTAGCAAAAGCCAAGTTCCCGGGCCTCAGAGGAAACCTGTCCAAGCTTTTAAAAGCTCTTTAATGCATGGACCATCTATCCCACATGTCCTGGAGTAGGTTCCTGCTCCCTCAGTCAGGTTGGAGACAGGCCCTGCTGGCTTGCACCATTTTGTGTAGCTGATGGCGCCTTACCCCAGTGAGAGACAAATGCTAGAATCTCTGGGTTTTTTTGACAAAGATACTGGAGTGGTTTACCATTTCCTTATCCAGCTCATTTTACAGATGTGGAAACTGAGGCAAACAGAGTTAAGTGACTTGTCCAGGGTCACACAACTAGGAAGTATCTGAGACTGGATTTGAACTCAGGAAGATGAGTCTTCCTGACTCCAGGCCCAGCACTCTATCCACTGCCCCACCTCACTGCCCTAGTCTGACAATACTTAGTGCCCATCATTTTGATCTGGTTCTGTGTCTGTTCAGGTCATTGAACTTGGTGTTTGCTTACACATACACCCCCTACCCTACCCCAGGCCAGCAAGGTAGACTTGACTCCACTCACCAGTCAGGCCGTTGACCTTACCTGAAGTAACCCAACTTCATAGGCACCAGAGGCATTGGCCTTTCACCCTGAAACGTTCTGATGATTGTTCAGTTGATCTGGAAAACATAACTGAGACCTTTTTGTAGTAATTAGGGTATTTCATCTCACCGTGGATTGGATAATGTAAGTATATAATAATTGACAAGTATATATAGTGCTTGGAAAAGCAGCGTGCCTGGAGGGCCCTGGGCTCTGTCCAGCCCCTGAGGTATACTGGCTGTGTACTCCTAGGCAAGGCATTTAACTTCTCAAAGCTCTAGGCAGCTCTTCTGAAATTATATAGATTACAGAAAAGGTGCTTAACTGCTTAGGCAGGGTGAGTCTGCTCATAATAAGAGCTCCCTGTGCCAATGAAATCACAGGCCCAATCCCTATCACAGACCTTGTCCCTATGTAATGATTTAGGTTTGCAAAGCATTTCATGTAGGTTAGCTTCTTATAATTACTAATTTGAGATGCAGTAGCTTCAGGGGTAGCAAGTCCTCATCTCTCTGGGTTATTTCTCTCTGGATCTCTAGGAACGAGTACCTTTTGGTTTTAGGTTCCTGAGCTCTTGGACCTTTGGGGCATCTCCACCTCCTCCCAGTGGAAGTACATTAACTGGGAGCTGGAAGAAGGAACTGTGGCCCCTAGCTGGTCTGTTATGCTAAAGGAGATGGCCCTCTGATCAGTCCTACCTGAAGATTCAATTCAGTTAGAGCATTTGTTAATGCTGTGTGTTAGGTGTCATAGATACAAAGATAGAAATGAACTAGCCTTTGCCCTCAGGGAGCTTACATTCCGTTTAGGGTGGGGTCGGGAGAAGCTGCCAGGATCTGGAGGTGAAGATAGGGTAAATCTAAGTAAATACAAAGTAAGTAAATTACTAAGTTAAATACAAAGTTTTGTAAAGTTTTACCCACT